ACAATCGACTGCATGACATGTGTAGTAGTAAAGGACAATGAAGTTTCAAGGGATGGAATACCTGTTCGAGGGCAGTGGAGCTGAACACTACGTGTACCATCAGAGGTTTTTGCACGGGCCTCCGGTGCACTCGGAGGGCATTCGAATTCCTGTATGAAACGAGCCATCTGCTCATTCGCAGAATTGCCCCGGTATCTATCCAAGGCAGCGCGACACCCTTCAATGACTTCTCATCCAAATTCAACCGGTCCAACAGTAGCCTACCTTCGATACCGGGTTAGAATCGTAGTGATTTACCACATAGTTCATTTGCAAGTTTCACTGAAGGATTGGATCCCAGCAAAAATGCAACTTAATCCACGAACGTGGTCTTCCATGTATTCCCATCTACATCAGATGGTTTGAGAAAAGGGTCATTCAAAAAATTCCTGCGTGGTAAACGGTAAAACAAACATTTTTCACGTTCAGTGGCCGCACGTTTACAATGGAGTGGAGAAAATTGCAAAGTTTGCGTCTAAATCACTGTCGGTGACTGAGAGAAAGTATTCCACGGGCGAGAAGGAAGCGCTAGCATGCGTATGGGCCATTGAGAAATGGCATCTGTACTTATTTGGTCGTTATCTGATCGTTCCTGCTTGTTCCCCGAGTTGTGGTCCAAGTAAAAGAAGACAGCGAATTAAGCAGTACGCTTATTGTAATTGACAAATATGTAGCGGGTTCGCAAACCGGGGAACAAGTAAGAAAAGACAACTTGTAGGAAGGAAGGAAGGCAGACAGGCAGAGTACGGCTCACACGTTTCACTACATGCGAATGCCGTCAAGCCAGCATTCCAACGGTCAGTTAATTGATCAATCAATCAATCTGGCCACAGTCATGTATGACAGGGGAACCAGTCATTTGTAGGCCCCATCACTTCTTCCATAAATTTGTTCGAAATAAGTAGTTCGTGAAACAAGGGAAAACAAACAGAATGCAATTGTAAATGTTCGTTTGATCTTGGCCTTGTTCGCGACTCTACTCTCTGTACTGGTAACGATTCATCGGAAATCGAACTCTCGTTGATCTCCTACGGGCGGTCCATAAATATACTCCGGTTCCGGTTTTATTACCTGTCTTGTCCGGGTTCGGTGAGGTTGTGGGAGACTCATCCTTCAGCAGCGACGCATAGAGTCGTCTTGCATTTACCTTCGAACCATCCGCCAACGTCTAAGTTCCTGGCATGCAAACATTCTGGACTTTCATGGGTCCGGTGAGTTTAAACTTACCTTTCCTTTTTTTGATTGCCACACCCGCACATGTTGACTCACTCTGAGCGGTTTTACAGTGCGATGATATGATGTTTGATACCTGCATCACCTGTGAGCTTCATCCGGTTTTCCGGTTTCGCGCGGCGGAACTATCGTGTTCAATTTTGTGCGGACTCGTCTGCCGAGTATCAATTCCGCCAAAGTCTTTTGAGTTGCGGAATGAGGAATTGTTCGGTATGTACTGAGAGCAATTAGGAGTGCGTCTTCCTAGGAGGTTCCTTCCTGTTGGATGGTTTGCATAGATTCCTTTAGGGTTCTATTCAGACATTCGACCATCCCATTCGCCGTTGGGTTGTAAGGAACTGTCATTGAGTGTTTAATATCGTTTACACGAAGGAAATCCTGAAACTCTTTACTGCTAAACTGTGGGCCATTGTCGGTCACTATCTCCTCCGGTAGACCGAATCGTGCAAATACGGTTTTGAGCCACTTGATGATGACGGAGGAAGTTACTTCACCACACAGGATAGCCTCAGGCCATTTACTGTAGAATCAAGTGACCACAACAACATTTTGTTTTCCAATAGAACCTCGTTGGAAGGGACCCATTATATCAATTGCCAATTTTGCCCATGGGCGCATGGGATACACAATTGGTTGTACCGGCGCAGAGATTGAGTTTGCTGATTTATCAGAGTTTTGGCATGCAGAGCAGTTCCTGACTGCTGCTTCAACAGGGGAGTTTAATTCGGGCCACCAGTAATATTCTGTCACACGTGTCTTGGTGCGGACTATACCGGGGTGTCCTTCATGTGTACACTGTACGATGGTCGGTATTAAACTGCGAGGTGCAACGTATCTGTCCTCGCGAATTACACAGTTGTTGATAGTTGCTAGTTCATCGCGCAGAATGTGGTACGGAATGAGCTCCGTAGAAAGTGATCCCTTATCTGGCCAGGATGATTCGAGGTACTGATTGACCTGTGTTGGAACCAAATCCACTTCTGAATGTTCTTTCAGTAAGCGTCTTGTAATCGCACCGTATTGACGGTTTTCTAGTTGAGAAATAATTTTTTTATCCTCAATATCTTCACCTTCACTTAAGTCGTTCATCGGAAGGCGTGATAGTGCATAAACTACTAGATTCTTTGATCCTGGGATAAATTGTATTTCGAAATCATAATTAAGGAGTCGAGCGTATCAGCGGCTGATTCGTAAGGGTCTGTGACCTTTATCGATCGCCACGACCGTGTAAGCTAGTTAGCGCAGAATGATCAGTTCTCAAGGTAAATGGACGACCAAATAAGTACAGATGCCATTTCTCAATGGCCCATACGCATGCTAGCGCTTCCTTCTCGCCCGTGGAATACTTTCTCTCAGTCACCGACAGTGATTTAGACGCAAACGCTACACTTCACTGCATCGTGATCTTCGGACAGTATGCCTCCCAAACCGACGTCGGAAGCATCGGTTGACATAATAGTTCGGATTTGTTCGTTGAAAAATTCTATCGTCGGCGCTGTAGAAACCATAGCCCGTTTTATTTCAAAAGACGTTTGTTGTTTCGAACTCCATTCACATATTTTGTTTGACCTCATAAATCTCTCAAGTGATTCTGTGATCGTTGGAAACGTGACGCAGATAGTATTGACATAATCCGAGAAATTGCTTCACTTGATTAGGGGTTTGGGACTGAAGGCACTTCAGTATCGCTTGTACGTTTTCGAATTTCGGGCGGATGCCCTCAGAGGACAATGCGTAGCCAAGGAACTCAATTTCGTGCACCGCGAAACGGCACTTCTCTACATTCAAGCGGAGGTTTAGGTCGTTAAGGCGGTGAAACAGAGCATATAAGTTGTTATCATATTCTTCTGCTGAGGATTCAAACACATAAATATCATCCATATAGGCAATACATCCCCGTTAGTCTGCTGGAGCCAGTGTCATAAGCTTTTGCCAGGCGGCAGGGGCACTGCTCAAACCCATCGGAAATACCTGATATTGATATAGTCCTTAGAAAGACTGTCAATGTCTTCGAGTCTTCCGTTAAAGCCATGTGGAAATATGCACTGCGCAAATCAAGTTTTGAAAACACTCATTCCAGACGTTTTGACTAGCAATTCTTTTGTTGTCGGGAGTGGAAACCTTTCTACGATGATCTGTTTATTCAGCATCCTCAGGTCAGTACATATTCGGATATTACCATTCTTCTTCAACACCGCAACGAGGGTGTGCAACCATTCGGAACATTGTATGGGTTCAATCCAACCTTCCTGAACCATTTTTTTGAAGCTCCTCAGAAACAGATTCTCGTTTGGAAAGGGGAACTGGTCGTGGCTGAGATATAGCAAAAGGAACGGCGTTGTGTTGAAGAATAATGCGATGTTTTACTCTAGGAATGTGACCAATGTCATTTTGAAACAACTTTGGGAAGAAGGATTTGTAATCAGGAATTTGAATTACGGAGATGCGCATTCGTTCTAAGCAGGGAGATACCTTTAAATCAACCATAGCGTTTCTGCCAAAATGTGGCTTATTGTTGTGACATGACACGTAAACTGCAACATCTTTTTGAAAGGAACTGTCCAGGAAAACTTTCACAATAACAAAGCCTAATATAGATACATAATTGTTTGAATAACTGCCAAAACTATAGAATTGTTGCAAGGACAAAGGACGAAGATGTTTCAAATAAAAGCTATGTGGGATAATTGTTATGGGCGATGCTGAGTCGAACTCCATTCTTAATGGAACGATACTATTAAACGTGTGAGCCGGACTCTGCTTGCCTGCCTTCCTACATACTGGTCAGTCCTGCTTGTTCCCCGGTTTGTGTATCAGCTACATGTTTGCTGTTTACAATAAACTTACTGCTTCATTCGTTGTGTGCTCATTTGCCTACTAAATTTTGGACACAACACATACCAAACCTTGTCTGTTTCACGAACGTTTCCATTGAGCGGAATGCACCATACTTATCCGTAAGCCGGTGTTATATATATTTATATATTTCACACACGTCTGACGCCAGACTGTGCCAAACAAGTCATGGTACAATGAGCTTCATGAAAAGAAAAGAACGTTCTATGATTAGCATGTAGGTTGAATACTATCAGGTTGCCCAGGCCAAGGCTGGTGAATTTTCTTGAGGAATCCACAACCGGAGCCTTTGGCTAGCCAAAGCCTGACCCGTAAGGCAGCGGGGCGGTGTGTGAAAACCGCAGTTCATTGTGGGCCGGTGTCCAGTTCATCGGATCATACGCCCTTCATACGGGGTCAAACATCTAAGGTGCCCAACACACCGATGCCCAATCGAGGTGGTGACTACCACAACTGGGGAGGTGTGTGGTTCGTACGCCTCCGCTTGATTGGTTTGGAATCAGGGTTTATGGCCAACTCCCCTAGGTCCACCAACCCGGTTATAGCCCCGGATATCAGTTCAAGTCAGTCAAGTCAAAGTACGCTGTATGCACCCGGAGGGTGAATTTGCAGCTATACTATTCGACTATTCGTCCTCTCACTTTGGTGGGAAAACACCTCCGCCACGAGAAGGCAGTGAGTAGGNGTGAGTAGGGCTTCCTCAGCAGAAGCTATTTGAGACACTTGATCGTATAACAGCATTTCGTAAGGTGCAAGGGAAGGGTCCAATGTTTCCTAGCGTTTCAGTTCACGCTTCATTTGTTGTGTAGTTATACTTACAGGATATTACTTTTCGGAAGCTCTTCCTCACTTTATTGCTTTTGCAGTTCACCATGTATGCCCAAGATTCGCCTCCCACTTTTGGTTGGAATTATCTCATTCGTGGAGGATTTCATATCCAAATCGACTTGGCATTGGATCGTCTGGATATTAAGAATCAAGGAAACCGAGTCGCCCCTTCCATATTTATTTTCTCCAATCAGTCCATGGATGATCACGATGATTTTCTGGTACAAGATATGAAAAGCACTACTCCCTTGGGCTCGTTGGAGGCAAGCAGGTTTTATTTTCACATTTGGTGCTGCCAAAACAGTTTTTCACGTTGTCCTCTATGCTGTTTATCCGTTTACCGATAATTTCCTATTTTTCCTCCACCAAGATTGATCTGACACCGCCTACGCTTTGTACGCGCATGCTCTACCAGCTGAGCTACGAAGCCACACCGATAGCACTGATCTTCTTTGATGATTTAATCGGTGTAGAATTCTTATAACTCGTGATGTCAATGTTGATGTTGATGGGTCTTCCGAGCCGGAAGCGTTGGTTGTAGATGTTTAGTAGCCAGTCTAGGCATCATCATCAGTGCGAAGTCGCAACCAACACTGCTAGCTCAGAGAATTCATCAATATCAACAATGTTGGTTTTTTCAATCTGTTACATAATCTGATGCCGATTTCTGTATTTCGATTCCACTTTATCGATGCTCATCTGTCGAGTACTGGAGTACTTTTTCGAAAGTAGAGGAATAACTCTTCTACTTCAGGTCTTGTTACCGATAGTAGCCTTTGAATTCACCATTGCGGTCTCGTTTTATATGGGATGACAGATGCGGACGATGATGCTCAAAGGATTCGATGACAAATACAGGGTTAAGCTGATCTGGTTTTGTTTTTGTTTAGATGCTATTACTTGTTGGCTCAGTTTCCCTTCCCTCCTCCAACCCTATAGTGCGCCTAAATGTCGGTATTTTAAAGTATCCTGTCAGTCGGTCGGTTGATCGGTCAGTCCGTCTGTCTGGCTATTCACTCTCCCCCTGGAGAGGTCACTCGTGCGAATAAACAAGAAGAGGAGCAATTTACCAGTCAACCCCCCCCCCCCTCACTAGAAGGACGTAGGAGCGGGGTACTTTGGATTTCCTCCCGGTGGTAAGAAAAGTCCTCGCACTTTATTGGACAGCTACCACCCGC